TAAACCCTCAACCCTAAACTGGGTTTCTCGACAGGCGCTGCGCGAGGATGTAAACCATCTCGCCGCCCATGTTCACAATGAGCACCTTGGGGCTTCGGGGGGCTTTAGGTTTTAGGGTTTAGGCTCCAGGTGGTTCAGGCTTCCCTTGAACGTTTCTTTAATAAGGTTCCTGTAGGGGGTCCCAGAGAACCCAATACCTCTTAATTAAGGGATATACCTTAAGTTTATACGGGCCTGAATATGATGATTTTTAAGGTATATTCCTTAGTTAAGGGCTTAGTTCCCCAATAAGCCAGATAATTAAAGGTTCAACTTTCAGATTGCTACTAAATTATAAGAAACCCAACAAGCTTAAAGGTTGGGTATTGGGGAACTAAGTAACCGGTTTAGCGTTTAGGGGTCTAGGGTTTTCAGGTTGGGGCTTTAGCATGTGGAGCTTTACGGTTCGGGTTTTAGGGTCTACAGTAGGGTTGTCGAGCTTAGGGTTTAGGGTTGAGGTGGCTAGGGATGTTTCATAACATGGCTTTATGGGCTGTGTAGGTTTTATGCATCTTCGGGGGCTAGATCTATTTCAGGGCTCTGGGTGTTGAACGGATTGTGCCTTGAAGTCAGACATTGAAACGACGATCTCTGTGAAAGAGACTAGGCTAGCTGTATGCCGGGAGCTTGGCATAAAAGAAGTTGTCCGCAGGTTTCAGGAATCTTGTGCAAGAGTATCTAAACTTGACGCTGAACACTAAGATGTGGGATCTTAGGACTTGCGCGCTAGGTGCCATAGGCCTTGATAAAAAAAAAACAGCTCTTGTATTTCAGATGTGTGTTTGTTGAACTCCACGGTGTAGGCGGCTTAGGTTATAGGCTTCGGGCTTGGGCCGTCAGTTCCTCATGGCTGATGAAAGCAGCTGCTCCAGATCCATCCCAAACCTCTCTCAGGAAACATTCCGAGCACGTCCCGATAAAAATCAAGCGGGGGCCTTAATAGTTAGAAGAAGGTTTTGGGGTGCACGGTAAGAAAAATGCATTACAATTATGACGACTATAACGGATAACCCTAAACCCTAAACCCCGGAAAATTGCAGGTGATCGGCCACGGGCCGACTGGGAGGGGCCGTGAGGGTCCACGCAGCCCTGCACTCGAGCAGGTCTAACACCCGAAAACCACGCCTGTTTAGGGTTTAGGGGAAAGGGTTAGATGCACAGTCATCGCATGTAAGGGCTCAGCGTTTACGGCAGAGTCAAAGTGTAGGAGGGTTTAGGTGTACGGCTGAGTTTTCAGAGGACATAGCATGTCGGGTTCAAGGTTTAGAACACAGGGTATTGTAGGGTGAGGGCGTAATATAAGGGCCTCAATAATTAGAATAGGGATAGGGAACCCCCCAAAACCCTTTCTAATTATTAAGGACCCTATATTAGACGTTGGGCAGGTTGGGTTGGTTTTTTTGGGGTTTAAACCTTCGGGTTGTAAGGTTTCAAAGCTTCAAGCATCTGGTAGGCGGTTGTCGATTTTTCGGTTTGTCAGGCCTTCCCAAGAAAACCCAGTACCCCTTAAATAAGGAATACTTTAAATCATACGACTCTTTAAATAAGGAATACACCTTAAATTATACGGGCCTTTTATTATAATTTAAGGTACACTCCTCAATTAAGGGGTATTGGGTTCTCTGGGTTAAGGCTTCAGACTCAAAGCTTAAAAGCCACATCCTAGCCTAAACCCCGAACCCGAAAGCTTCTCTTCCCTTACCCTAAAAACTCTAAGCTAAACGCTCTAAAACCCAAAACCTAAACCCCAAACCCTAAACCCCAAAACCTGAAACCTAAAAGGAAACTGCTCTAAAACCCAAAACCTAAACCCCAGACCCTAAACCCCTAAATGCTGAAACCTAAAAGGGAACGCTCTGGGCTCCCTGCAGGCATGGCCATCAATGCCCCCGGAGCCGTCATGGCGCCCGAGGCCTTTTGGGGGGGGGGGGGGGGGGGNNGGACTCAGGGTTTAAGGTTTGGGGTTTTTGGGCCATTTTAGGGTTTAGTAATCGAAGTTAGGTTTTGGGTTTAGGAGTCGAGGGTTGTAGCGCTTTACGGCAGCCGTCGAAAGCAGCTGCCCATCTGACTTCAATTCCGCTTGCTGGGGGTATCCGGTGCAGGGCCACAGGAGTCGACAGATGCGTTTTGCTCGTGAATAAAATGGATGGGGACATCCTCTTGCAACTATCTGGTGGTGGCTGCGTAAGACGGCCAACTTTTCATCTTGCCTTGGTGCAGCCTGCGATCCACCAGCAAGTCCGAGAACACTACGGATGATGGCTCCCGGAACAGCTTCTTGGCCAAGCTTCTCATCTGCTGGATTTGCATTCTTACATAGCTCGCGTCGTCCTTCATGTCAAAGACAAAACAAGTTTGGCAAGTGCTTCCATGTTATATGGTTTCATGTCCGAGTGGCATACGATGAGCTGTGCTTGCAAACGAGCCTTCGCAATGAGCCAACTGTCGGTTCGAAATCCTGCTGCGTTCATTGCACCGATGGCCCAAATTAATGCAGCCGGCCTGCCTGACATCAGGTGTGCCTTGGCACGAACTGCGTGTCAAATAGCTTTTTCTTGATTCCACACTCGGTGATAAGTTTGGACCATGAGCATTCAACCCGTCTACAGTCAAACGCCTTGCCGGCAGCTTCCAGAAGCAGCATCATTGCATTAGGTCATCAGGCTTCCATTTCCCAACATGGATCATCTCATGGAGTAAAGCATCTGCAAGCCTGTGCTTCCTGAACTGCTCTTGCAGGGACTGAAAGGCAGAATATGCCATTATGCCAGTACATCCCTTTGAAACTTCTGTTTGTCGGACCACTTTCAAACTGCCTGGGCCCGCTGTAGCTCGTCAGTCTGCGAGCAGAGTTTCCACACTGCAGTGAATGTAGGGGCCTTAATAATTAGAATAGGGTCTTGGGGCTCCTTACTATATTTATAGCACCCCAAACCCTATCCAAATTATTAACATCGGTATCGAGAGTTGGTCCCGGATGCCCTCGATCTCCAACAGTGCACTCCACCAGTGGAAATATCCACACATCTTCATCGAGGAAGGGATGACACTGTTGTCGACCTCGCGAAGGGCCAGTGCTCCGCGGATGTGTTTCAGCACTTCGGCTTCAGTTTTGGACCTTTTCACTGCTATATGCAACACCTGGATTTCGTTCAGACGGCAGACCTTGATGCGGTTGGATCGGAGAGGTCAGAAAATTGCTGGCATTTCTTCCAACCCCGGTTGGAGAAAAAAATAATTCTCCACAGGTCTCTGAAGCAGCTTATTCGAGACACGTGAGTTCCGACACCCCAACGCAATCCCGATCCGATCTTGTCGCGGACGTGACAGAAATCCTGCAGACTTTCCATGTGAGCACCGGGAGAAGCAGCGTGCTAACATGCTTAAGGCCCTGGTGAGCCAAATCGGCTGCCAGAAACTGTCTTCGGTCAAAACTGCACAGCACTGCACAAGGGCTATGTATCATGCACGGGAAAATGGCCAAATCTCGCAGCAACCTAAACCCCAAACCATGACCATGGAGTTTACCAGGCAGTCATCAACCAACCTCCTCCGCATCGCAACCGCAAACGTATAGCCTCAAACTCATGGTCACCATTAAGATGTGCCGGTGGAGTAGAGACTCGTAGTAACTTCAGCATCAAGCTAAAGCCCTGAAAGCCTACGTCCTGACAGTTTAGCCTCCATACAGCCCGAACCCTTAAGGCCCTAAGCCACTAAACCCTGAACCCAAGCCCGAAACCCAAAGCCCCAGGCGCTACGGTAGGGGCCTTAATAATTAGAATAGGGTTTTGGGGCTCATTATACTATAACTATAATACGGAACCCCCAAAACAGTGTAGGTAAATTTTTAGGCCCCGGTATTAATGCCTAAACCCTAAACCCTAAAATCTAAGCCCTAAGCCCTAGCCCTCGTAACCGTAAGCCCCAAGCCCTAAACCCCAATCCCCGAAGCCACTAAACCCTAAAGCCTAAACCCTAAAACCCTGAAACCCTAGAACCTACACGGCGCTACACCCGAAACCCTAAAACCCACACCCTAAACCCTAAAACCCTAAACCCTAAACCGTAAAACCCTAAACCTTAAAACCCTAAACCACCCTAAACCCCAAACCCTAAACCCTAAACCCCTAAATCTTAAAACCCTAACCCCTAAACCCTAAACCCTCAACCCTAAGCCCCAAACCCTAAACCCTAAACCCTAAACTTTCAACCCTAAACCTTAAAACCCTAAAACCCTAAACCCCTCAGCCCTGAAGCCCCCTCGCTGCCTGACCTGACCCTGCTGGGTCCTCCCGGCCCTCCCAGGGGCTTGAGCACCACTGCACCACGGGGGACGCGCGGAAAAAGAAATTTAGTTTAGGGTTTTAGGGGTTTAGGGGTGTAGGGGCTTAGGGGTGTAGGGGTGTAGGGGTCTAGGGATTTCGGGTTGCAGGTTTAGGGTTTGGGGTTTAGGGTTTTGGGGTTTAGGGTTTGGGGTCTCGGGTTTCGGGTTTCGGGGTTAGGGGTTAGGGTTTAGGGTTTAGGGTTTAGGGGTTTAGGGGTGTAGGGGTTTAGGGTTTTGGGGTCTAGGGGTTTAGGGGTGTAGGGGTTTAGGGATTTCGGGTTGCAGGTTTAGGGCTTGGGGTTTAGGGTTTTGGGGTTTAGGGTTTAGGGGTTTAGGGTTTAGGGGTTTAGGGGTTTAGGGGTTTACGGTTTAAGGGTGTAGGGTTTAGGGTTTGGGGTTTAGGGTTTCGGGTTTAGGGTTTAGGGATGCAGATAGGGTTGGGAGTTTAGGGCTCCGGGTTCAGGTTTTCAGATTGGGTTTCGTATGGTTTGGGTTTGGGGGTGTTGGATGGGTCTATTTTGAGCCCACTTAATAAACCCCCTCCCTTAAAGGGCCTGAATATTTGAACCCTAAACCCTAAACCCTAAACCCTAAACCCTAAACCCTAAACCCTAAACCCTAAACCCTACTACAGTCATCATGAGGGGGGTTCAGAAACCAGAGGTCTACATCTACTTAGGGTTTAGGGTTTAGGGTTTAGGGTTTAGGGTTTAGGGTTTAGGATACCATGAGGAGGAGTAGAAAGGGCTCGGTTCGGGAACAGTGCAACTTAGAGCCGTGGAGGGTTCCTTCTTTTATTTGTTTAGGGTTTAGGGTTTAGGGTTTAGGGTTTAGGGTTTAGGGTTTAGGGTTTAGGGTTTAGGGTTTAGGGTTTAGGGTTTAGGGTATCCCGAACCCATTCTAACCCAGAAGGTCCACATATACTACCATTATGGAATTAAGTACCAAACGACCATTCTTATCACGGTTCACGGTTTTCGGGACCTACATAACTCCATAATAGTAGTATATGTGGACCCGTAGGGTAATGTATCCCGAACCCCGTTGTAATTTTTATTTATTAACTGTTGACTCCAAGGGGCATATGGGGTTCCCGAAAATAGGGGACCCTAACATCGTACCCTAAATAGTAGGATCCGTATTATAAGGACCCCAAAATAAGGTACCCCTAATAATCGGAAACCCCCATATGGGGCGAGCGTTCGGGCTGGGAACATGGGGCTCGTCTAGAGAGAAGGTGGGGTGCTCTCAAACGCCTGGTTGAGGGTACGAGGGTTTAGGGTTTAGGGTTTAGGGTTGGACATGTGGCTAGAGCTTCCAATTGTTCCCAAGCGGGGAGTTTGGCAGTTTGAGACACGCGGGAACCCAATGCATACCTTTATCCTTGAGCTGGGATATGATATGAGACCGAATTACACACCCAGTATAGGACCGAATGAGTAGGATCCTTACTACAAGGAGTTCTCTGGCTTTGCGAAGGTCCTGAGTGCTCGGCTTACCAAAACTTGAAAATGCTAGTAGCGCTAGTCTTGCCTTTCTTACGACTCCTAGTCCTATCACTAAGGGTATCCTAAACCCTAAACCCTAAACGACTCCTAGTCCTATCACTAAGGGTATCAGTATAAGTTGTCGTAGTCTTCGTATGTGCATTAGTTGAAGCTCTCCGGGGCATGTTCGGGACGGTTTAGGGTTTAGGGTTTAGGGGTTTAGGGGTTTAGGGTTTAGGGGTTTAGGGGTTTAGGGGTTTAGGGGTTTAGGGGTTTTGGGGATTTAGGGGTTTAGGGGTTTAG